TCAGACATTCATTAAAAAGAAACCTACCCATTTGGGAAATCAAGGACATACTTGTAAAACAGGCTTTTTGGTGGTTTCCCAAAATACAAGGGAATTACTCCTTCTGTTTACCTACATTTGCATATCAACGTGCATGTGCGACAAACCTCACTGAAAAAGGCACCCAAGCCACACCCCCCGTGCCGACTGCATGTTCCCTGTAAAGGGCCGTGTAGCACTAAGACTCGTCCTGGATTTTTTTTTTTTTGAATAGGGAAGGATGGTAAGCAGAGGTGAGTGTTTTCTTATGAGAATGGAATACCCCCTTTTGGAAATTCCATTACAGAAAAAGCTCACCTCTAGTGTTTACCTTCATTTGCAGAGTAACACTGTTAGATTACAACTGGGAGGGAACGAAGGGACATGCAGGGTAACGAAGGTCTAAATTGAGCCCATTAAATATGAAAACGTTGTTTAGACATATCCAGGAACTGTCTATCTAGTTTATGAGAAATGGTGGCTTTTCGGGGTGTACGGTCTGCTGATCGGCCAGCGTGCTTAGGGCTTTCCTACTCATGAGACCTTCCCATTTGAACCACATCCTTCAGGTAGCATGAAGTGAAGGTGTTAGATTCTCTCAGCAGGCCATTTTCATTACACCTGCAACAGAAACTCCAAGCTGGTGGACCCAGGATCTCGACATGCTGCATGACTCATGGGCTTCTGATTTTGATCCCCAATAGCGGGAGGACTTGTATTATTGCCTCCGACCTCACATGAGCGATCATGGTCACAGAGGCCAGGCGATGTAGCTGGATGGTCGTGATGAACAACTGCTTGATGTCGCCTCGTAATGGCTGCGTACAAGCAAAAAAAATACATAGAAGCTTGTACGTGGCACCACCATAAATCTTCCGCCATTGTTGAAATCGCTGTCAAACTTGGGACGAAGATATCTAAGGGCAAGAAATTTGTTAAATGATTCATGGTCAGAAACTCCATGTGTGGAATGAGGCATATGCCGCTGGGTTCTTGGTGAAAAAGGCCTGGTTCTGGTAGACCAGGCATAGAATTGGCCTCCTTATGGTGTTCTTCCAGCAGCCATCAGAAATACCATTTTAATGGTAGGATGATGAAGAACAGACGCCTCTGCTGGTTCAATGGGAGGTTGTGGAAGCAATGATAGAATGGTACCTTGACCCCCGAAATTCTTGAGATAGATTATCTGAAGACTGGAGGTAAACAGAAGAAGAAAATCCCTATTGACAGGTACAGATGAAGAACGGGGATTGATAGCCGTCATCGTGTACCCCTTCGTAAAGTGGAGAAGTCAGTTACCATAAGCCTGCCTGTTGGGCTCCACCTGTGTTGAGCTATCCAGGCAATATCTACTTCCCAAAGGTCAGCTGCTCTGAGGGAGATTGTGACAGCATCCAAGCACACCAATGAAGGGAAGCTGAATCCAGATGTGCAATTGGAGACCTGGGTTGAGTCAAGGGGTCTTGGCATTTGAGGAGCCTGACTGGAGCATGAAGAAGTAGGTCCAAGGAGGCGAGGGAACGGAGGCTGCTGTGGCCAAAATGAGGCGAAGAGAACACTCTGGATATTTCTGTCCCTCATGAACTACAGTGGAACCTTGTTAATTAGAACACTGTTAAACAAAGATCCTGCTAATAACAAGGTAATTTGCCGAGCCCGAAGGACCTCTTATTAATGAGGTTTGGCTATACTGGAGGTACCCTTCAAGTTTGTAACAGGAAGTTGAATGCACCGACGTATCACTGTGGTTGAGCAAAAAAATGGTGATGTTGCTCTGCGATAGGATATCGACCAAAGAATTCTTCCCTTCTGTTGAGTGGCTTGAAGAGAGAAACATTAGCGGAATGACACAGGTCCTGCCTGTCTGCATTCCAGAGGCAGTTGGCCTCATGCAGTATGGTCTAGCGGAGCTTGTTATCGAAGGGAACAGGCTACAAATTTGTTCGTCCCTTCCATTTCCAGAGGGTGCTTTTTTCCCTCTTTTTTATTGTGTATATTGCTTATTTATTAAGCCATGTAATTACACTGAATGGTTGTACAATAAGTAAATCGGCAAAAAAGTGACTGTTCCTATTATTTACTATGTTGTACATTCGTGTTCCACGGTGAACTGGATGCTGCTTTGTTTCTTGATGTTGAGGTGACCAGAAAGGAGGACGGCAGCCTAGCCCGCACGGTCTACCGCACGCCCACCCACACAGACAGATACCTCAACAGTACGTCCTTCCACCACCCCAAGATCAAGTTGTCTGTCAACCGGGCCCTTGTCCACAGGGCATACAACATCTGCAACAAAGAATTCCTCGGCCAAGAACTCCACCACATCACCGCAGTGCTGCAACGTAACGGATACAAGCCAAGTCGAGTCAAGACCCAAGATCCGTCCCCCGGCCGAAGGGTCTCCTATACCCAAAGCCAACTAGTTATTGCCCCTAGTTCTATCACCCTCCCCTACTTAGGGAGTACTTCCCACCATATCTAGTGTATTCTCCACAAGCACAGTATTCGAGTTTTCCACACAGCCCCACTGCAGTTGCACAACCTGCTCACCTTTCACAAGGACCGGCAGGACCCTCAGCACAGACCATTCCTTGCCAATGTGGCAAAGTGTACATGGGCACGACGTGCAGGAAACCTCCCTACCCGCCTCAACGAGCACAAAGCTCACGGCAGGAAGGGAGAGCTTGATAAGTCTTTTATAATCAAGCACTCCCACACTGAAGACCATCAGATCAACTGGAGCCAAGCTGAACTCATCACCAGCATCGAACAACGGTATCCCCTCCGCATCAGAGAAGCCATAGAAATCATCAAGCATGACACAGTTCCCCTAGACATCGGCTTCAGCATCAGTGATATCTGGCGCCCCATCCTCACAGCCCAGTCCAATGGGTCTCCTATACCCTAGGACTCCCCAGTTAGGTTCCCCCCTTACGGGTGGTTCCTTGTATTTAGGCCAGAAATATGTCCGCTGAGCTCATTAATAAAAGTTATACACTCAAAATATTCTATATTAGAGGGTCCTGAGAGCAATGGAACTGAGGAATTGAAGAAATATGAGACTGAACCTCTGGGCCGGACTCAGGGCTTCCAATTCTGAGCAATTTGGATGCAATCAGGTCTGAAAGTGGCACTATTTGAGCCATTTTGCATAGGGATGGTTTTTCAAAATGGCTACTTTTCTGGATAGGGACATTTTCTTCATTTTAGGGGTGGGTCTGCTTCTGATGAAAATTTCCCAAAAATTCATTGGTCAATCGCCCGAAAATTGAAAAAAAATGAAAGGGGACATGTGGAACATCATATTTCTGTGAAGCCTGAACACCTGTGAGAGCTGTGAGTATTTTTAAAATATTTGCGAAGTATGGGGATTTATCACTGCTGTCTATAGGAATTTATTTGTAGTGGTGCACCATCAGTTAGCCTATGGGTCTTCTCTACCCTTGGCACCAAGCTGTTCACTCTCCCACTGCCAACTCACACGCTTGAGTAAGCACACACTCCATTGTTCCCACCTTCACTGTTCCCACCTCAATGCTTCACCGAGCTAATCCCTACATCTGGATCCCTGTCTACACCATATAAGCTCCACTCCCAGTCAGAATTCTGCAGTCTCCTGAAGACGGACAGAGTACACTGTTCAAAACGTCGAATTATTCCCCGGTTCTTCTCAGAACCACACATATACTCAAGAAAGAGATCGATACATGGTGCAACTGCAATCATTTTACTCATCTAGGGGCACTAGAAACTTGCCTCATGCAAATCAAGCAAAGGAACTTGTCGATGGTTCTACACCACCCCTGCGAGACAAAGGAATAAAATTTGCTCATTTTAACATTCACAGCCTTGCCTCAAAAATCGACCAGTTTCGGCTGCTGCTAAAAGCATGAGCCGTTGATATTTCCATAAATGAGGCCTTGCATGACAACTCTATATCTAACTCGGAGGTTTGCTTAGGATTTACACGCTACAGAAGAGACAGAAACCAACATGGGGGTGGTGTGGCTTTTTTTTTTTCAAGTATGTTTAATGTGCAATGTAGACACGATCTGGAATCGTCTGTGTTGGAGAATATTTGGCTAGGAGTACGTTATCTACATAAGTCCCCCTCTCTCGTCGGATCCTGCTATAGACCCCCTAACTGCACCTTTAATTTTTAAGATGAGTTTGAAATGAGTATCAATTGCATTTATTGTTCTGAGAAAGGTTTTTGACATGGTCAACCATGAAATGTTGCTCACTAAATTAAGAGAGCTAGGATGTTCTAAATCTTCTTTAAACTGGTTCCCTATCTGGCTGACCGCTCGCAGAGCATCAACTATGAAGGAGCCGTCTCACAAGCTAAGATTCTGAAGAATAGAGTTCCCCAAGGCTCTATTTTGGGTCCTTTGCTATTTCCAATTTATTTAACAGCGTGCCTAATTCAGTAAGCAATGGATCTACTNTAATCAAGGACTCCCACACTGCAGACCATCAGGTCAACTGGAGCCAAGCTGAACTCATCACCAGC